ATTAAAAGGAAGATTAACTGCCTACGCTCGAGGCCATTCTGGGAGCAGGGGCAGCTGACTAGAGGCCAGGAGCGTCCCCAACAATTTTTCTTAAAAGAACATGCTGTAATTATTATGAAGGGAGGTTGTCTAACTATAGACAGGCTTTTCAATGACTTGCAGGCCTACAAGGCTAGAAATTAGCTATGCAACCTCTTTCCTTTATTTACTTATTTTTAATAGGTAATAGGAAAAGTGTTTTGTTGGTTTTTTTTTTTTTTTTGGTCTTGATTTCTTTTCAGTTACTCCTTACATGGGGCATTTAATTTTAATTTTTTTAAGTGTTGTTGATTTGCTGCTAGTTTCCATAACTGTGTCCTTTGGGGAGAACAATTTCACTGTGGACATGCCTCACTTACCTTCAGGCTCCAAGCCCATACCCTGTCCCCTTCCCTCCCTTACCCCCTCTAGTAACCAGTAGATCATTCATGAATTATTATTAAACAAGAATTATCATCACAAATTAGAATTAAATTAGAATTATTCTTGTTTTGCCTGTTTGTTCTCTTTGGTTATTTATATTCCACAAGTGAGGAAGACTCTCTGGTAGCTGTCTTTCATTCACTGCTTATTTCCCTTAGCATAATCACTTCAAGATCCAACCATCTTTGTCCCGAAGGCACTACTTCATCTTTTTCTTTAATAGCTCAGTAGTATTCCAGTGTGTATTTGTTTACTTGTGGGCATTGCAGAACATCTGTATAGCTTAAGAAATAAAAAGCAAATTAAAGAAGAAAACATTTTTTTATATTGTGTGTGTGGGGTTGTGTGAGACAAGTCCATCAAAATCCAAAGTTAAATTGTTTCATGGCATTTGAAGCTCTGTGTTCCTGGGGATTTCAGTCTACACTGTGGATCAACAGGCTAAGTCACAACAATTTGCAGTGTGACTTTCTATGGATGCTTCCATCACCAAGACAACAAGAACTCTGTCTGTAATGCTGCATGGATGCTCCTGGCAACACAACCCTAATAACTGCTGACAATTTCAAGAACAAGAATGATTTCTGCAAAATAGGAACAAATTCTAGAGGTGAGATTTGTTTAAATATTGAGTTTACATAATTTCCTCAAATATTCGAATTTTGGGAATCTCTCAGTTAAAATAGTTCTAGTTTTAAATTTATGACTGTGGCTCATTCTCCTATGCACCACCCCAAAATTCCCTTTTAAAATAAGAATGGTTTGGGATGAATAAGTAAAGTAGTAAGATTGCTATCTCTTCATGACCACTGTTGACCCCCACTTGGGCATAGCAGTGAGACGTTGTAGCCACACATTTGGATGCAAAGGAGGAAGTCTTTAGGCATCAAAGAAGTCATCCTCTGTGGAGATCTGGGGCCCTTCTGAGTAGCTGATTATATGTGAAAATCAATAGTTGATTATATGTGCAATCAATGAGACACCAATGTTAAGAGAAGATGAATAAGCTCAATTGGTGGTTTTGGTGTCACTAATCAAAATTTCGTCATGACATATCCTACTGGTGTGATTAAATCAGCTCCATGAAAGCTAGGGGAACCTGATACTTCAAGGAGTAGAGGGAAAAATATCATCTTACCCTGGAAAGTACCAATGACATGACCCAATAAATCTGAGCCACTTGAGAAGAAGGGTCTTCTAGCTCTGTTTTGCTCCCTAAAACCACCATGCAGAGGAAGTTCAGAGGAAGCCCTTATAGACCTGTGTATGCTTAGCAAGTAGCTAACCTGTATTTAGTGAACTGTTGTAATTTAATTTTAAGGCAGTTAATTTTGAGTCAGTTAACATTAATTAATTCTTTCATTATCTTTCTCCTTGAAGAAAAGCACAATATACATTTTTAATAGCCTTGGCAATTTTGTGATCCTTTTCATCCAGTTCTCTACACGAATAGCAAATGTATTACTTTTTATTCACAAAGCTGGGAACTGTTTCCAGATATCTGCTTCTTCAAGCAAGAATAAAAATATTGTCTAATTAGGGAGATGCATCAAAATGTGTTTACTCATTTGCCTTCCAAGAAGGAAGACTATAAGGGCAAAATAAGGCTTTATACATACATGACGTGAAAAGATTATGTTGTATTTTTCTCTTACGGTTGTTGAGACTTTGTCATTTGAGGTTGCTTATCCGTAAAGCCAGTAACATCTCTTAAGCCATCACTCTTTAAAGGATGAAGACAAAGCCTTCAATTGCCTGAACAACTATGTTTGGGAAAGTCACTGCTTTTATAGCTGGTTGGTAATTTAATCTTGTAAAATCTTTTTAATCATGTTAAATATATGTAAACATTCTCTATCCGATCAACATTAATCTCCCATGGTCCGGTTAAAAACTGACAATCAATAAACAGTGTCATCTTATTTTGTAGTAGATAGAAAGTAAATGAAATGCAACATTGTTTATATCTTAGATAAGGTTTGTGATACCTTGCCAGCTCCCAAATTATACTTTTGCCTAGTCTATAGCACAGACCTTTATTTTATTTTAAGTAAGAAAATGTAGAGATAGAGAATAGTTAAGTTTTGTTTCACACGCAGAATTTGTTTTTTAAAAGAAGACTTGTGTGCGCAGGGGCAGTCTCTGAAAATAAAAAATTTTATCTGCGGACATGGAAATCTTTGTTTATGTCTGAAGGTGTGGGGGAACTTGGGGTATCCTCAAGATAGCATGCCCTTAGAAAAGCATCATTTGTTCAGCTTTTTCTAAACAATGAACTACATATGGAATAATTTATTAGTATTAACCTTTAAGGATGCACATAGCTGTGCAACTGACTTGAAATTAAACCCAGCACTCCATTTACATGTTTGCCCAAGTTGATGGGGTTTCTGATTTCTAGGAACATTTGATGTCTGGTTGAGCTCTATTGAATCTGCTGTTTATGCTTCTGTCCCACTTTCTCTTCCATCTTCAAGCTCTGACACTCAGACCCATGCTGCCCCCTCCAGTTTTAGATGGCCTGAGAGCTCAGTAGGTAAGGAACCACCTCGAAAGCCTCAACAGCAATGTCTTTGTTGCACTGCCCTGGCTGCTTCTTTGTGGCACAGGAGCCAATAAACACAAACATCAGCAACAGCTATATGTGAACTGAATTTTGCTTTGCTTTTTTTTTTGGGGGGGGGGAACACAAGATTTCTAGATATACTTGAAAAAGATGGAAGGGTATTATTTAGCTACAATGGGGCATTATAATTTAGTGCCTTCACAAACATTGCAAATCTTTAAAATTATTCAAAATCATCCCTACAAATGGGTCACCATCATTATAAGGAACCTTTGATGATACTTTCTACTCACATCAGTTTATGTAGATTAATACACAGATACAGCAAAACAATCAAATAAGTTAACTACTATATGCCCCATATTACAGGTAAAGGAAAATGAGACATGTAGAAGTTAAATATATGGCCCAGGATTACATGGTTAGTAAGTGGTGAAAATGGATTGTGAATCCAGGACAGAAGCTGAAAGCTTTCCCTTCTGGTAGACAATTACTATTGCATGAAAGAGTTTGTGGAATTTCGTTCATGAAAATATAACTTTAATGACTGTGCATGAGCATTTTGTTTGTTTAGAGCAACTATAAGAAGAACTATAACTGTTATCAAGTGTAAGAAAACTACAACTGTTAGCTAACAGCAAGTTGTATCACAATTGTTAACCTTGGTTACAAACTAACATTAGCAGATTGCAAACATGGAATAGTAATAAATGTGTAAGATCTGAAATAAATTCTAATGCGGAAGGTATATTTTTCACCTGATTTAAGTCACTAGAAAAAATATATTAATTAGATCATTTTAGAATGGTTTAAATTTAACCCAAATCTTATTAAAAGACAAAGTCATACTGACCTCTTATTGATGCTCCTTCAATTAATCCCAGTGTTATATTAATAATTCTATAAATGCCCACGCTACTCATTCATCCTCCTGAAAGGCTAAATGCCTTATCAGCCTGATTTGCACACACTCCCCTTAGGGATTAGGAAGACTGTTTGCACTGTCTCCCAGAAAGAGTCATAAAATGTATATGTAGCATTGAGAAAATTAGAACTGATTTAAGAACATACTATCATTTACTAAACTGCTTCTTTGTCTTATAGTAAAATTACACATTTCCTTTAGATTTAAAATATTAGATAATTGAGAATTTTAAAAATCAAAATGAATACAATACTACAGAATTCTGTTGGTATAGAAGCATGGATTTTTTTCTGGTTAGAGACCCTTCTCTGTCCTGAAGCTCTGCCTGTCCTCTCAAAGATGAAATCTAATCCATCTCTATAAATCCTGAAGAAAGAGAATACTCATCTCTTAAGATTATAGCCAAATATCATCCTATTGTTTACTTTCCAGAAAATTAGCTGTAAAGCTACTCATTTTTTCAGCTACTTGTACAATTTATTATTTCAGATCTTTACTAAATTAGTTCTTAACTTGACCCTGAACTGGCTGAACAGCTCCAGGACTGGACAGCAGACAGGTCATTCTATTGGGCAGCAATATAAGCCCCGTCGGCAAGCATTTTAGTATTGGCTAAGACATACACACAGAGAGAGCTGGAGGTTTCAGAGAGTCTAGGCTGAGGGTAAAGACAAAAATACACATGGAAACTTTCCTGGCAATAGCTTAATATTCTTGGTTATTTTGGGCCTGCATTCGAATCTCTCATTGTCCAGCTGCACGTGGAGAGAGACAGAATACACCCCACCTCTCTCGGGGTCTCCATGGAAACTGGCCTTAGGTAGGTACCTGGAGAACAGGACCCTTGTTAGTGGCCACTAATAACTCCTTGTGTCAATGCCTAGTGAGCTATTAGAGAAATGAGATTCAGTAACTGGGGCGCTCTCAGGGTCTGGGGTGAGGTGTACCCTGGGGGCTAACATGGATGGACCCACACATCCACAATGTGTATCAGACCTCAGTGACCTTCATTTCCCAGCAACTAGGTCATGGAGGAAGGATTCTTACCCGGGCCTTCTGCTCCATCTCTAGCATCAATCTCTCATGTTGCTCAGCTATGGCCAGCGTCGCAGAATGGACCTTCTGATAGATCATTTCTCCTTCCCTTGTTTGAAAAGTGAATAGTCCTTCTCCTGTGTCACACATTCTGTGAGGACAGAGACAGGGAAAGAGATGGGTCTTCAGATGTTCAAGTGCATAACCGTTTCCATCCACAAGCTGCCCGTGTCCTGCCTTCCCCTCCAACTTGATGTTCATAAGAGTTAGTGAAGCAGACTCAGCCTTGACCAAAACCAACCAACCAAAAAATGCATCTGCACATGAGGACAGAGGGGGGCAAATTCACTGAGGTTTGGAGAAACATCCACAACAGTGTATAAGAACAGATCAACATGATTTTGGTAATTTCAGTGCATGTCTTCACAATAAAAGATAGAAACAAAGAGTTGTTTTCTTGAAGGATTGTCATGTTTATGGCATCATAACATCCTGTAACTGGATAGCTCTTCAAATTTTAAGAATGTCAGACAAGGCTGCAATTTTATACTCACTACAGTAGGCAGCAAGGAGAAGATGATAGATATTTAGTTTTAAAAAAGATTTATTTATTTATTTATTTATTTATTTATTTATTTATACAAGCACTGGGTACAGTCAGAAGCGTGGGAGGGCGAGAGAATTCACCAGAGCCAGAGCAGGGAACAGAACAGGCAGACCAACGAAATACACTGCTGAGGGGAGCAGTGGGCGCGGCAGGAGATGTCTGTGCGCCATGTGGGACCCTCCCTGGCAGCCGGGGATCAAACCAGTGCTGCAGAGGCTGCAGGCAGCTTCGCAGCCCAGCGCTCAACTGCTGCACCACCAGGGGAGGCCCAGAACCAGGTAATTCTTAAATAAGTCTTAGTACAGCCTAGGAACCAAAATGCTGCAAAGGAGACTTTACCTGGATATGAGAAGATTTGGTTTGAATTTTGGCTCTGCCACATGACCTGGGGCAAGGAATAACCTCTCTGTACCTCCTTCCCACATCCCTCACACAGGAAAAGCAAGAGCACCCCTCTCATAAGAGCCTCACACTGGTCAAAAGACTTGATACACAAGATATTTACTGTGTTACATAGCACACAGGAAGAGCTCAAAAATGTTAGCTTTTACTATTTTCATTACAAAATATGGACTAATTAGACTAATTGTATCTGATGTACACAGCCATTATCATGCCATTTCTACAGCGTGTAATATTACAAATTCTTATTAGATAAATTCAAGAGGAAAAATCAAAATAGAAATTCTTTTTCCGTTGGGATGATAATTACCTATGTAAAAACCATTTTTTATTGGAATGAAAAAATTTGTTAGGCAATAGGATGATAGGTAAGTTTTACTAACAAAGGCTAATTGTAAAATGAAAAATATATAAATTAATATTTAAAATCAGCTTTAAAAAATAATAGGAAGCCTTCAGGAGGCATTGCTCCACAGAGTATGATAAGACTTCTCAGATGTGGGATGTTGAATGCACACCCATGTTTTTGCTTTCCCAGGTTCAACAAAAAAGCTTGGCACAAAATGTTCATGAGGCCAAACTATTTCTTCCAGCACCAAGAGGTTTTGGATTCCAGGGGAAGACATGTCTCAGGAGGCCTCAGACATCACAGAGACTGTGAATCCATCCCCTAGGCCCCGTGGAGCTTGTACTCAGCTTCTGTGAAAGAGATCTTAATAAAATTCACACAGCGTGAAATGGAAAGTCTGGGGGAAAAATGAAGAGTTTTCACAAAGTGAAACAAATGAGCTTTCTTTGTGGCTTCAGAGGAGTGAAGAGACCCAGCAGCAGGAGGGGAAACCATGGCGAAGTCATGAGTGCGCCTTGTTCAAGGCTGGGTTTTGTGCATTGTCATCTGGAAAACGCTGCCGATTACCCTTTGGAAATGAGATAATGAGACTCAAATTGTTATTTTATACTCAGTCACTGAGATGGAAAGTTCTAGCACTGACCCACTTCCTATAACTTCATGCTGCCCAGTTAGGGGCTCTGAAAGCTCACAGAAGGATGTTTTTCCAGCCTCTGAAACAAACATGACTGTAAACTTGACTGTTTGATCAACAAAAAAGGAATGAAAACCTGCTAGTGTTAAAAGCAAAGACATTTTAGGTACAAGGTGCTCTTCAATTAGATCCCTACAGCCCAGCTGAAGTCAACTCTTGAGCCAAACTAGCTCATATTTGTGACTTCTGTCAGCCGTGTGAGAGTAAGTACTTTAGCTTTTCCTGGTTATTGTTTAAAAAACTTTTTGGGGATAGATTTGGAGATTATTTTCTTACATGTCTGAATGCTTTTGTTGTGGCAGTGTATTATAAATGATTATGGGAGAGAGGGAATAATTCTCTTATTAATGATTTTTTTTTAAAGATTTATTTATTTATGCCTACAAGAACCAGGGTACAGGCCAGAGGTGCGGGAGATGAGAGGATTCACCAGAGACAGAGTGGGGAGCAGAACAGGCAGACTGACTGAAACACACTGCGGAGGGAAGCAGCAGGTGAGTCAGGAGAGGTCTGCTGCACCCTGTGGGTTGCTCCCTGGCCGGTCAGGGATCGAACTCATGATGCAGAGGCTGCGGATTGCTTCATAGGTTGCGTCTTAACCCTTTGCACCACCAGGGAGGCCCAATGATTTATTTTTTAATAGAGGTAATATTAGGTAACCCCATCAGGTATTCACCACCGGATCACCCATAGTCCACCATGATCCATGGAGCTTCCTTCCCTCTTTGCTCTTACCCCTCCCCCAGCCCACCCCTCGTGGGTGCTTCAGATCTATAGTCAGCATCAGGGGCTCATTTTTAAGCTTGTGCTTATCTGACCCTTAGTGAAAGGAGATCATTTTGATGGCTATCCTCTTGCTACTAAATGCATGGTCCACAAAATGGCAGCCCCTGTGGCCTGGGAGCCTGCATTTTCAAGACACCCCAGCTGGCTCAGATGCATGTGGCAATTTGAGAAGCACCGGCTTCTAGAACTCCTGCCAGAGATCTTATTTCATTACAGGGGAGATGGGAGATGGCATCTGTGGGACCCAAACGAGGACAAGCTAGAAATCATATCCACATAGCTTAGGACTGTGACACATGAAACGGAGGGTTAGAAAGGAAGAAATCCCTTGCTTGATGAAGAGAGCGGTGCTAGTCACAGGAGCCCATCCTCACCCCCTTGACTCAACGCGCAAGCTCCTAAATGCATTTATTAGGAATAAAGTGAAAATAAGGAAAAAGGTATATTTGTCCTGACTCCAAACTTGAATTCTATTGATATTTAGGGACAACCACAAAGAATATCTCTCTTTACAAGGTCTTTGCACAAAAATACTTTTTTGACTGAAAAAAAAATTGTTAAAGTATGTCATGTCACTGTAAGGTCCCTTTAACAGTCAGGTCCTCATAAACATTCTGAGAGGTAAGTAAGGCATGTGTGTCGACACATTGCTGGTGGGGCATTTTCTGACACTGTCCTATGAATGATATTATAATAGTGTAGATTCAAAACACCAAGGACACAAATTTCAACCCTCATGCCGTGGCCTGTCATACCATTTATCACAGATTCATCAAGTACTGTTGTAAGCCTGGCAATGTCTTGGGCCTGGGGATAAAAAGGAGGGAAAAAATTGATGTGGCTCATTACCGCTGAGACTTTCTGAGCTGTAGGGAAGATTAGCATTGTTCAAAGAAGAGCACACTTGCTGTGGAAAGTGCCAGCAGGGAGAAGAAACAAGAGGGAGGCAGTGGGGACTTGCCTGGGAGTTAGTGGACCTATCTAGTCACCTTACAATGGATAACCAGGCACTGCCACTAGCTTTATTTTCCTTTTAATTAAATGGCATGGTGTGTACGATGATGGGCAGGAAAAGGTGAGTTCATTGGGACTGAGTTGCTCATTCCTTACCCATTCCAGAGGAAGGCTTGCTTTTGGGGCAATCCCTTAGCTGGTCATTGGATTGTGACTTCTGAGCTTGTGGGATAGTCAGCCAGGTGAGAGCATGTTTGTGAGTTGGGTTGGGCCAGTTTGACCAGGTAAGTTTATCTCAACAATGTGACTTAAGGTGACCACCTATTCGCTCTGGTGGAGGCTGAAGTAGCTGAGAAGCTGAAGTCAAGCCGGTGGACACTGCAGGCTTGCATAACCCTCAGTAGAAACCTAAGACAGCACGGCTCAGGGAGATTCCTGGTAGATAGCACTTTCCACGTGTCGTCATACATTCCTGCTGGGAAAGTCAAGATGTCTCCGTGTGACTCCAGTGGGAGGGGCCTGGAAGCTTGAGCTGGTCTCTCCTGGTTTTATCCCTGTGCTTTTCCCAATTGTTGAGTTCATCTGCCCTTTTGACTGTAGTAAGCCATATCTGTGAGTCTAAGACTTCTTCTGGGTCTGGTGAGACTTCCTAGAGAATCATTGAGCCTGGGTTGGTCTCTGGACTTCTCCCAAGACAGACATGTGATTGGATAACAGCTACTATAAGAGCGATTAAAGACATCCTAGTATCATGTCTAGGTGATCTTTTTCCAAATTCTATTACTCTGGGGATCCAGGAATATTCTCTCTCGCTCTCTCTCTTTTTAAAGATTTATTTATTTACGCATACAAGAACTGGGGTACAGGCCAGAGATGCGGGGAGGGGGTGGTGAGAGAATTCACCAGAGACAGACTGGGGAACAGAACAGGCAGACTGACTGAAACACACTGCTGAGGGGAGCAGCGGGCGAGTCAGGAGAGGTTTGCTGTGCCCTGTGGGTTGCTCCCTGGCCAGGGATCGAACTTGTGCTTCAGTGGCTGTAGATACCTTCATAGGTTGCGTCTTAACCCCTTGCACCACCAGGGAGGCCCTATTCTCTTTCTTTATCCCACCTCTCCACTTCCAGAATCGCCTGATATAACAGTACTATCAGCTTGGTCTCTGTTGTGTGTTATAAAGAAGGAATCATGAAAGTCATGTGAATGCAAATAATCACCGGATCTGAGCTCCACTGTGCATGGCTTTCCTTCACAGAATAATACCAAAATATGGTGTCTTAGAGGCAATTTCACATAAGAAATAGTCTCCACCATATAATTAGATTATTGTCCTCATTTTCTTGCCTTTAAGCCTCAAAC